AGTCCATTTGTTTCAGCTAGCTAGCAAGATGGGATTTTCTGGTGAAAAAGGTGTCATACCCCTTTAAGGTATGTCTTTTGTGTCTTTAAGGTATGGAATAAGCTATGGAATAAACTAGAAAATTATGTCTGGCTCATCCACATATATCTCTCGGAAGCAGAAAAAGTAGCAAATATCCCCAATTCCTCCCAACAGATAAATGCTAGGCCATGGTTTTGATTTTGATAGCCCAGGCTCTTATAACTACTATGTGGTAGATGAAGTTGAATCTTTGCCAGGCCTCAAAAGACACACCTAAAGAAGAAAGAAAGATTGATTTCCTGTTAACAAATATATAGAAAATAAATCAAAAGAATAGTGACCAGTCAGTGAAATTTGTACCATGTTCCAACGGTTGCCCTACATCCCTGCAAATTTGAAGTAGGTCATTACGGTTTTGCTGAAGCCCCCAGTGGATTTCCACCCTTCCCTCATCCCCTCCCCATTCCCAGGAGCGAACACTATTCTGATCTAGGCTTCTAGGTTGCCATATGTATTTGGGTGTTCCGTAATGTATATATCCCCAAGTGATACATGGATTGTTTTGCTTGTTTCTAAGCTTTATATAAATTGTACTGTACATGTCATTTCCTCTCCTGCCTTTTCCCCCTACTTAACATTTTTTTGAGATTTATTTGTGTTGATATATGTCATTTGTGTCCGCTCATTTTGGCGTCAGTATCTTTCCCATTGCATAAATATGCCATCGTTCGTTTATTCTTTCTTGCTTTTATGGACAGCGAGCTGTTTCCAGTCCTTGCTTTTGCAAAGAGCGGGTACAGGGAAGGTCTTTTTAACATGAGTGTTATGAATTAAATATGAAAGTCACCTTTGGCTTGTGTATTAAATGCTTATTAGTTCCTAGCTGGCTACACTGTTTTGAAAGGTTCTGGAAAGTTCAGAAGGTACAGGCTAGTTGGAGGAAGTGGGGGCGTGAGTTGAAGACTGTATCTTGTCGTGGCCTTCTCTCTGCTTCTTCTCTGTGATGAGGTGAAGAAACTTCCACCACACACTGCTGTCACCATAATGTTCTGTCAAAACACATGGGGCCAGGCAACTTAGACTGACCACTCCAAGACGGTGCTTCTAAACAAATCTTCTGTCCCTTATGTTTAGGTATTTGGTCATAGCAACCAAAAAGTTAAAAACTGACAGCCAAGAACCTGTGATGTAAGTAAAGGAGCTATCCCATAGTTTAGCCATTTTACCTTGAGCTTGTTTTGAACAGTCTCTTTATGTAGCCCTAGTGCTGTTCCGGAAGTGGTAGGTAGCCTAGGTTGGTCCCATATTGCCACAATCCTCCTGCCTCCGCCCGCCAAGAGCTGTTATAAATGCCCAGCACCATGCCGTGTGGGACCAGTTCACTCTGTCTCCACAAGTTCTTAGCCAGCACCTCTGGCGTGCATGGTGCTGGTATTGGAACCCAGGGCCTAGTGCATGCTAAGCAGATACTCTGCACTAAACTACACCCGGCCCTTGTCATCCTCTTACTCCGTGGGAGTCTATGTGCCCCGCGTCTCATTCCCTTGTCAGAGCAGCACCAAGGTCTGTGTTTTACTGTGAGTCTCATGTAACTTATCTTAGAGTAGTATAATTTTCAATCTTTCCCATATTTGACATTCTTTTCTACCCACAAGGAGTAAAAACAATCCCTGTGTTTTCTACTAAAAGTTTGAAAGTCTTGGGGTGTTAGAGGTGGCTCTGCAGCAGAGCACTTGCCAGAGGACTGGGCTTGCGTTCCCAACATCTGTGTCAGGCAGCTCACAACCGCCTGGAACTCTAACTCTGGAGGCTCTGATGTTTCTCCGGCCTTCTTGGGCATACACGCACACACACAAAGTAGTAAAATTAGTCTTTAGTCATGGTGCCAAATGCCTCTAATCCCAGCAGTTGGGAGGCAGAGTCAGGCAGATTTAAGTTTGCAGGCAGCCTGATCTCTGTAGTGAGTTCTAGTCCAGCCAGAGCAACATAGTGAGACCCTGTCTCAAAAAGAAGTTTTAAATTTTTTTCCTTTTCTTCTCTTAGATTCGTGACAGGATTTCTCTGTAACTTTAGGACTTGTCCTGGAACTAGCTCTTGTAGACCAGGCTGGCCTTGAAATTACAGAGATATACCTGCCTCTGCTTCCTGAGTTCTGAGATTAGACTCCTAAGTGCTGGGATTAAAGGCATGTGCCACCACCACCTGGCCTTCTATTAGATTCTAAGTGATGTTCATTTTCTTTAAGACAGGGTTTTGCTATTTCACCCAGCGTGGCCTTGAACTCCTGGGTCCAAGTGACTCTCCACCTCAGCTTCCCAAGTTGCTGGGACTGTAGGGTACACACTATGGGGCTTGGATCCAGCATGCTTGTTCTTTAGGGGTATGGGGGCAGCAATACAAATTCCATGGACTTTAGGGAGTATGTTAACCCTGGGCTCTTGGTATTCTGTGCCATTCTCTCAGATGCTAAACACACTTCTGTGAACTCATGGCTTTTTCAAAAACCAAACACTATGGTGGTAAGAGTTCATCTTGAACCTGAATTGGGATCCCCAGAACGCACATAGAAAGCCAGCATCCTTGTAGCCCCAGTACTAGGGTTGGAGACACAACAGACAGATCCTGGAGACTTGCTAGCCAGCCAGTTAGTGAGCTCCAGGTCCAGTGAGAGATTCTACCAGATAAGATAGGGAGCAACAGGAAGACATCTAAGATTGACGTCCAGCCTCCACAGTCATATGAGTGCACACACATAAACCCGGGGACATGTACACACACCTGACTTCAATGGCTTTCTAAAACAAGCGTAATAAGATTGCTGTGCTGCCCGCAGCTGAGTAGTTTAGGGAGTTTAGGCTCTGGGGGCTGGGGAGATGGCTCAGAGAACAAAAGCACTTGCCCTTAAGCATGAAAGAGCTGAGTTGAAATAGCCAAAACACACATAAAGCTGGGGACGGTAGTGCACATCTCTAATCCCAGCACTCCGAAGGCAAGCGAGGAGATCAAGAAAGGATAATCCCGGGAAGTTCACAGGCAGCTAGCCTGGCAGCAGGTACACAGTGCAGTGGGAAAAAAAAAATCAAAGAGACCCTGCTTCCAAACAAGGTGGACGGTGAGAACCAACACTCAGGGTTTTCCTCTGGCCTCCACACACATGCTGTGGCATGCACATGCCATGTGCACACATGCACATTATACACAAAGAAAGTGTAGGCTTTCACTAGTCCCATTCCTTCATGAAATTACTGTCATCAGGATAGCCTTCTTTGCCAATTGTGTGATGTGTCGTAGTTATCTGAAGTAAGCATTAACATTCCCCAAATCTCTGTAATATTGTCAGAATTGTACTCACCATAACGATTAGTTCTCCCAGCCAGAGTCGAGGAGTAAGTAAAGGATGCAGAGTGTCAGAGCCTTAAGGACTCCCACTTCTTGCCAACTAGCTGTAATTGTGAAAGGCTGTCCAACAGGTCATCGAACCTTGTCCTGAAAGTCTTGATCACTATCATCTGAATTTAGTGGAGTCGAGAGATCTGTCATCCCGCTACTGGCTGTATCTTATTGGTGCCATATGTGATTCTATTCTCTCAAACCGTTGGAACAGACCAAGACTACCCTACTTCAGCCATTTCCTTCCTAGTTCACTCGTTCTTTCACTTTCTACGGTGCCTGAGATCAAAGTCAGTCTGGGACTGAGTAAGTGCTCTTACACTGAGCTGTAAGCCCAGCCCCTGGCCTCAGGCATGTCTGTGCCCTGGCCATCAGTGCCTAGAGGCATCTAATCAAGCATCCTGAACCACGTGTGGCTGCTTATTAAAGCTCCAGAGTACTGATGTTCTCTTCTGTAAAATTGGGAACCATGAGCTCATGAGGGTGGACCTCGGAGAGACAATGTGAAAGAACTTGTTGTATCCCTTCTAGCCATTGGTGATCCATGAGGAAAGCTCATCTCTTTCCAGATAATTGGCATTCAAGAAGTCCAGAACAAACAAAGTGGGTTGTTGCCAAGATACGATTAAACATGGTTAAAATGTCATCAGACAGCATCTGGAGAGGTCCTAAGTACAGCAATAACAAGTTACCAGTTCTTTGTCTTATGAATAAGTAAGGTATTTTGTGGTAGTTTTTTCGTGCTGATGAGGGTGCAGTCTACAACTTCTGTGATGCTGATAGCTATGTAAACAGGTGCATTGTGGGTGGAAAGAGGTTCAGACATGTCCTGGGAACATCCAAGATAAGCTATGCTTTGGCCTGTTCTGGCCCTAAGGAGATGCCACTGTTGAGGCTAGAAGCCATGAAGAGGCTATCTGCCTCAGCATCTGCCTTTTGATTTTGTTATTTTATTTTTTAAGATTATTTTTCTCATATGTGTATGAATGTTTTGTCTGCATGTATGCATGTGTACCATATGCATGCCTAGTACCTGAGGAGGTCAAAAGAGGGCATAGGATCTGTAATTGGAGTTACTGATGGCTATGAGTCACCTTGTGGGTGCTGGGAACCAAACCAGTTAACTGCTGAGCTGTCCCTCCAGACCCTCAGCATCTGTTGCTAACAACCAAAATCTAAGGAGTGAATTACGTGGGATAATGCCACCGTAACTTAAACAATAGCCTGTATTACAAAGCCATTAAAAACAGTAATTCTTTAAGACTGTAATGATGGGAAATAAAATGCAAACCCTTCATGTGTCTACTAGAAAAGGCAGGGTATGAAGCTATACACACACTCAGTATGATTCCAGCTAGGTTTTCATCCACACACTACTTAATAGAAACTATACCCACATTTCACTGTGGTCTCTTAAGGAAGCTTTTCCTGGACAGTGGAAACTGTGGTCTTTTCTTTAAAGTTCTATTTTCCACGTTTTCTGTAACGGGAAAGGATCACATGCACAGTGAGTAGCACACACCTGCTCAGAGTGGACACGCTAGGTGCTCGGTGCACAGCGTGGCCATAACGCTCTGCTTGGTCTGCAGCTGCTGCTGGACACGCACTCCCTGAAGATGGTCCTGCTCGATCTCCCATCCATCGGCTCCCAGGTGGTGAGGAAGGCACCTGCCAGTTACACTAAGATTGTCGTGAAAGGCATGACCCGGGCTGAAATGATCCTCAAGGTATGTCTTCTCTGGGGACTCTGTTCACAAAGGCTGGCCCCATCTTAGATCCCTAGTTCCAGAGAGTTTGGCTTTTACAAACACAGAGTCTGCCCTGTCCCCTCTAACCCCCGGGGGCTGCTCACACTCTGTGATGTTGAAAATCAGTGCGCAGTTACCTGGGGATCAGCAATCCTTTCTGACAGGTGAGTTCTGTTTAATAAGCTCTAGCAGCTGAGAGCCAGGTGGCAAATCAGGAGAGAAGCCCAGGGATCTCTTGCCTCTCAGCAGGAATTTTGGGCCCAGATGTCACTCCCATCCCCAGAAGCCTTTTGGCTTTCGTGTTTTGCACCTTTAAGTGAACTCTGAACAGATGTTGTAGTAACTGAATCTAATTGGCAAATGGGCTTTTTAAAGCCTTGTTTGACAAGCGATTGGACATGGTGCCCTGGTGGAGCAGCACCTGCCTCTGATCTCCACCCGGGCCTGTCAGAAAAGGCTGGCAGTGGGGAAGCAGAGGCTCCGTTCTCATGAGCTGAGAGTCCAGCACCTGCGGGCTCCTCAGGCCCATTTCCCAGGGTGACTCAAGTGATGGCAGGGCTTTATTAAGCTGCAGTGGCCAGGCCTGGCTGCAGACCTCAGGATCTGGACCACATGAGGGGCCTGAGGAAACTATGTCCTCCCATGCTGGTCTGCTCAAGGGAGGAGAGTTGCATTCTGGAAATAGCTGCTAAGGCCCTTGAAAGGAACCGCTCCTTGCCACTTTCCGGTACATTCTCAGGAATTCAAAACAAAACCAGCCCACGAGGGAAGAAACATCAGCATATTCCAGAACCAAATGAAATGAATCTGAGGCTGGTGTGGCCATTTGTCTATGTACTAATTGTTAAATGGATGTGGCCACACAAAGTGTTAGGTTTCAGGTCTTCAAAAGAGTAAGGCCAGTTCAGGATTTTTGTTTCTGAGGATATCTATGGGCTTCTGCCAGCTCTCAGTGACAGACAGAAGGAGTGGATGCCCCACCACCCATGAAATCCCCCAGTAGATGGTCTCTTCCATGCCTCCTGGGGGAATTAGGAGCCTCGGATGTTGGGGGACCAGGAATCCATATGTTAAAAGACAATCTGGGTAATAATGGTGATTCAGCCACGCTTGGGAATACTGTAATTGGACATCAAGTTGAAATGAACCATCAGCATTTCTGAGCACAGGCTTGGATGGCAGTAGGCCCCTTCGTGGTCAACTGACAAGTGAGAAGAGCTGACCCTGCCCTCCAGCCTGAGGGCTCCTAAGGACCTATTCTTGTTTCCTCCATTGGTAGGTGGTGATGGCCCCTCATGAGCCATTGGTGGTATTTGTTGACAACTACATCAAACTCCTCACGGATTGCAACACAGAAACCTTCCAGAAAATACTGGACATGAAGGTGAGCCCTCTTGTTATTTATAGCCCATCCACCCTAAGGCATGGAATGTGCATATAGAATGTGGGGACTGCCTCAAAGTCACCCTGCATCCCAGATTGCAGAGAGCCTTTCCTAGAGGCCAATCCTGGCCATGCAGGCTGCAGCATCCTGAGGACCGCCCTGCCCAAGGGATGGCCACTGCCCAGGGGAGGTTGGAGCAATGCAAGGAAGAACAGGGATGGTCCTTCCCTCTGCTGTTGTTCCTCTCTTCTCTTTTCAGCCCTTCTTTCTCTCCTGTCCTGTTAGTCCTTTTTCTTGCCTCAATTTTACCTTCCAGGCTGCCCTCTAGGACCAGTACTTGCCCTGGAGAAATCGAGGTCCTTGGGTTCTAGCCATTACACAGTTAGCCCAGCGGAGCTCAGGCTGGGCAGACTTCCAGGACCAGAGTATGCTTTCTGCTCCTGCCGTTGATTGTGGGACCATCCCTGACCACCTCTCCCTCTCCTCTCAGGGGCTGAAGAGGAGCGAGCAAAGCGGCATGCTGGAACTCTTTCGACAGAGGCTCCCCGCCCCACCCTCAGGGGCAGAAAATTCCAGCACACTGTCCCTAATGGCTCCAACACCAGAGCAGGAATCATCCCGCATCCGCAAACTTGAGAAACTGATTAAGAAGAGACTGTAAGGAATATACAGACATTGCCAGGGACCCTGAGCTACTGATTTCTGGAAACCCTCACTCTCAGGACTCTAGGTCCTCAGTCTTGAAACCTCTAGGGCATTACAGTTATTAAACTATCTCTCCCATTCCCTGTCTTCGCTCTATGCCAGTCAGGGAAACCGAGTGAAACCGGGTTGTAAAAAGGCATTTTTAGTTTACCTACCGTCCTGAAGCTGGGGCAGCATTGGGTGAAAGGTCCCTGTGGCTCACTTCTATCTCCAGGCTGCCATGATGGTTGAGTTGCCATGTCACCTCCCCACACAGCCCTCCTCACCAGCTCTGGACCCCACCAGCCTGTACCTGCAGCTTGACTGAGGAAGCATGGATCTCATCCCTTCCTCCCTCTGCATTTGAGGTCAAAGCCTATGCAATCCAGGGGTGCCTTTTCCCTCCTTGTCTCTGTAATTGGCTTGGGGCCTGAGTGAACTCAGTGACAGATGACAGAGTGGGCCTCTCTCTATCAGGGCCCTGCCAGGATTGGCACATCCCGTGTTACCTGCTGCTTTCTGGGGCTTCAATCTGACCTCCATGACATGGCCAAATTACCCCCGGGTCCTCCCACGTCTCTGTACTCCCCAGGAGAGCAATGCACACCGCTTATCTTACACATGAGGAGGCAGACTAAGGATGCTGGCATGCCCAGCCCGGGCATCAGGTGTCTTGCCTGTGATGGGCTCCTGAGCTGGTGTGGATGCAGACCTAGAGCTGACTTAGAGTCTGCATGGCGCTCTCCCAGAACATGAACACATTGTCCTGCCCACTTTGCTCCTGGATCAGAGGGAGGGACTGTCTTCTGAGACACCAGGAAGTTCCCTTGGAAGGGCTTTCTTTGGCTTTTTTGGCAGAAGCTGTGAGAAGGAAGAAGCAGGAAATCTGGCCGCCTGACTTCCCACTCCCTGGTACATTACAGTCTGGAGTACTTTCCAGAGCCCCTGAAACATGGTGGCCGCATGTAGCACCTCAGCGGCGCAGCACTGCCACCAAGAGAGACACCTAGGAACGTGATTATTGACCTTGCACCCCAGATTCAGAGCCTGGAAGAGCCCAGAGCTTAGCTCAACCCTGTCTGACCATGCTGCCGGCCACTAACTCCTGAAATCAAGCCCTGCAGTGGGGAATCGCCCCACCTCCAGGGAATGGCACCTCACCAGGGCAGCCATACCCTGCTCTCTTGGCTCGTTAGAAACCAAGGTTCAATTACATGATCACTACCTCAGTGTGACCACCATTAGTGACAGCTTTCGGCAGCTGTGAGCATGTCATCCAGTAGGACAGTAAGATCCCAGATCCCAGGGCCACCCCTTCCATCACCACCACAGCAACAAACCTCATCTGGTTATTTCTGGATACCCATAGTGATCAGCGTGCATCCTGGGCCCTATGTCTCTTCTCTTTTTTCTTTTCTTTTTTATTCTTTTGACCACGAAGCTACACCCCAGTCCTAGAGCCTCATTTCTTCATCAGCGTCTAAAATATTCTTACTAGTCACTATAACTCTTGTGTATTGAGCATTTTGAAACTCTAAGCAGGAAGAAAACAAGTGGCAGGAAAAAGGCATGTCACTCGTGGTCGAGATGTATCATAACTTAGACAGCGCAGCCCACTGGTGCTTAGCATAGGGATTCCTCTGTGCTGCCCTGTGGGTCCAGTAGTTGTGTGCCTTGCCCTGTTTTGGAAAAGAGGGGCTGTCTCAAAACAGCACAACCAGTCCGGCACCTGCCACCCACCTAGGGGAGTCGAGGAAGCCAGCGGGCTCTTCCCACACCAGGCCACTGTCACCAGACTCACACAGCTCACTGTGCTTCTCCTTCCAGCACTCTCTGTGATGGCATTGAGATGTCAAGCTGCCATTCCTCCCAGTCGGTGGTCACAGCCAGCAAAGTGACTTCCTTGATGTATTGCACTGTCGGTAATCACCGAGGAGCCAGCAGATAGATGTCAGTAGGAGTTATGTTAAATGTCTTCTTGATGAGGACTGAATATGGTGTGTTCTGCAGAGACAGCCTATTCCTCACCTGGGGAATGCATTAGAGTCCCCTGGGGCCCTTTGAAAAATGCAGATGTCTGAAGGCTTAGCTCTGTAAGTCTGCAGTAAGGCCTGGCGTGTATATGTTTAGAAACTGTCAGTATCCACAGGAGACTGGTTCCAGGACCACACACACCCCATGCAGATGCTCTGTCCCTTCTGTTAAATGGCAGTGTATGTAAATAATCTAAGCACATCCTCTCATTGGCACTAAATATTCTAGAGTATACATAATGCCTCATATGATGTAAATACTACATGTTAAATAGTTAGGTTTCGGGCGGTTTTATTGTTTTTGGTAGTGGTTTTGTTTTGTTTTGTTTGTTTGTTTGTTTAAAGATTTATTTATTTTGTACACAGTGTTTTGCCTGCATGTATGCCTGCAGGCCAGAAGAGGGCACCAGATCTCATAACAGATGGTTGAGAGCCACCATGTGGTTGCTGGGAATTGAACTCAGGACCTCTGGAAGAGCAGCCAGTGCTCTTAACCGCTGAGCCATCTCTCCAGCCCTTTTTGTTTTGTTTTTAAGACAATCTCAGTAGCTATGTGGTCCAGGCTGGCCTTAAACTCATAACCCAGGCTGGCTTCCCAGCTACTGGCAGTATAGGTATGCACTGCCATACCTCAAAGTCAGCAGTTGTTACACCGGATGGCTTAGGAACTAATCACAATTGAGAAACTAGTCTGTATGTGCTCGAACAGGTTCTTTTTTTCTCCCCAAATATTGTTATTGCCTTTGATTGAAACACCTCATGCATGACCCATAGATACAAAGGATCAACTGTAGACTGCTCACTCCCTGCTCTCAGCCCTTGCACTGAAAAGAGAAAGGTCATTTTAAACGGAGTTCTATAGCCCATTTTCACAAATGTGTGTTTCTCTGACTGTCTAACTCAAGGCTGGTACCAGCATGGCCTTTTTTGTGGCTAGCAGCTTTCATCTGAAGCTTGTTTAGATGATGAGGACTCTTCCCATAGTCAGGGTTCTTGTTTTTATGCCTGTGGCTCAGCCTTTATTTATTATTGTCACTTCAATTCTTTAATTCCAACACTGGAGAGGCAGAAACAGGCAGACCTCTGAATTAGAGGCCAGCTTGGTCTACATAGGGAGTTCCAGGCCAGCCAAGGCTACACAGAGAGATGTTCTTGAACAACAGGACAAAAACAGCAGCACCAGATGTGAAGAGTTCCCTGTGACTCTTGTTAGGACGGATAGCTGGCTCAGAGGGCCAGGCTAGAGAAGGCTTTGTTTAGACTGTACCTGCAGTGCAGAAACCATGAAGAACCTCTAGCCTCTTGGAGAGCCTTGCAGGTGCAAGACCTTGGGCACACACCCTATCATGGAAAAGAAAATTCCTCTCTGGCAGAACAAAGAGTAAGCACCAAGACTCCTCCCAGCACCCAGGAAGGTGCCCACTTCACATGCATCTCAAGTAGCCCTTCAGTGCAGATGAAATGACAGAGAGCAGAGAACACAGGTCCCGGCTGCTGCCTGGTGGGGGCATTACACAGGCCCATCCTGAGTCGCTGTTGGACAAGGAAACCTGGCTCCCTGTTTACAGCAGGCTAAAGGAAATTGCCAGAAGTACGCAGCTGGAAATGTCATTCCACTCCCTAGGAAGAGAAGTCTCAAAATAACCTTAGCTTGCTTGAGAGGGGAAGGCAAGTTCCACACATATTGTCCACTCCAAGTTGGATTCCCAAAAATAAAATTGTTAGGGCTGACTGCATCGGGCCATTTAAGCATTAACCTTGGAAACAGGCTCGTGAAAAGCCAGCAGACGTGAAGAGAACCATTACATTTTACATATGAAATAAAAATTTCCAGTCCCATCCCAACTGTCCATCAACAAAGCCTGTTGGGCCCGCCGAGTTCCGCACCTTGGGGAGATGTAAATTTCTTTCAAATAAAAGAATCATTCTTTTGTGTAAGTGTCTTTCGTCTTCCCCATCTGGAATTGATTTCTTGCTGCATCTTGAAATACAAAATACTGCACTTAATTAAAGCATTACTGAATGTCATTTGCTAGGATGTCTTTGCCTACTGCTGACAGAAAACAGAAGGAACCCTAAGAAGGAGCCTGAGCTTCCCTCCCCGCCGCCCCACTTCTCACAGAGGCAGGTGGAGGGACATGCCCTGCTTTCCTGACAGTCTAAGGAGGCTGCGCCCAAGGAGAACGTGGCAGCCCGGGGCCGCCGCCGGCTGGCTAGCCGCAGTGGCACCCTCTGTCTGAATGTGTGGCAAGTGTACTGCTCCTGGTTTGGATTCCACTTGGCGCTGAGTTTCCATCTGTTGGCTCTCCCCTCCCCTCGCCGTTCCACTCACAGCCCAGATTCCCATGCAGCTGCCCAGAGAGCTCTCGCCTGTACACAGCAAGTTATTCCTGCTTCCTTCACAGCTGGGTGGGCATTTTGCACTGAGATCTTTGAGGGAATTCTGATTTTCCTTCAACAGTGGAAAATCTGCCGTAGCACTTCCATTAGGCTGGCCTGGGAGCTTTACCTAGTTTCCATCCATCGTCACCGGCTCCTGCTTCCAGGGGATATAGCCAGGGAAGGCTCTCATGAGAAAAGAAGCACTTCCGATTACCCACCCCAGAGGGCCGCGTGCAAGATGATTTTCCTACCAGCCCTCCGCCTTCTCACCTCCGTGGCCAGGCAGAGGAAGCTTTGGTGAGCAGTGGCCTATGAAGAAGTGTGTCCACTGGAAACGAAAGCAGCCCGGGATGGAAACTTCCACAGAAGCCCTGCTCTGCAGGTCTGGTCCTAGCACTTTGACATGGGGCCAGTCATTGACTCTCTGAGCCTCCTTTTGCAACATCTGTGAAAAAGGATTATAAACCTTCCCAGTAATCCTTGTGTTGTTTTTTTTTTTTTTAATTCATTTTAATGAGACAGATTCAGGCTGTTAGTCCTGCTTCTGCGTCCCAAATGCCAGGATTGCAGGTGTGTGCCCTTAAGCCTGGCTCTCCCCAGTGACCTGAGGCAGAAGGATTTCTGTGAGTTTGAAGCTGGCCTGGACTACATAGCCCAGACTAACCTGATTTGCAGAGTGAGACAC